TTTTTTTTTCTTTGTTTTCTTTTTTTTATTAGACCTCACAGTGCCCCACCCCTCTCTGCCTCACTCCTTCAGACATGGATTTGGACTGTCTAATTAGGCAGCCATGGAGGCCTGGGGGGGGGGAAATGGATGGCTGAATGTTTGGATGGATGAGTGGAGGAAATGAAACAAAATAGCATACCTGTGTAGTGACGGCTATAGACTTGGAAACACATTGCGTGAGACCCACGCGGGGCCTCGCCCTCTGTTCGTCGTAAACGCGGACACAAACTGTCAAACTCCCTTCCTGGCCACGTGTCCCCTGTCTTAGAGTGATTTCTCACAACTCATTCTCCTCTCTCTCTCTCTCTCTCTCTCTCTCTCTCACACACTCACACACTCACACACACTTCAGACACTACGGCTCTTTCCGAGCGGAACGTGGAAGGGGCTCCAGTCCCTGACTTGAAGGATCAAGCTATAGTTCAAAACGGACTCCTGGTCAGTGCTGGAGTGCTTGCAAGACAGCTAGCACTTCCTGTTTGTAATCCACCTCAGTACCCCTCAAGTCCCCCCACACTTTCCCTCACTCGGACTGGAACGGTTCCCACGCTCCCCACCCTCGCAGGGCTATGGCTGTGGCTGCTATTGACTATTTCAAACTGGAACCCTGAGTCCCTAAAAATCTTTATCTAAAATGTATCTTCGCCTGTGACTGGGGATCATCACTCACAGACATGAATGGCTGTAGCACCCCAATCCCCAAGTAACGTCCAGGAAAAGAAGCTTGGATCTGTGTAAAGGGTCCCGGGATTACTACAGCTGCGCGAGCTCGTTTTGCTTTCTTCTGCTCCACAGCGGTTCCTCCCCCCAAAGCTAAAGATTGAGCATCGGATGCTTGTTATTAAATTGTTGACTGTCATCATCAATTATTAAACTTTGCTGTCATACTGGTTGGATGTAAGAAGGCCCTCAGCTACGTCAGCCCTGGAGTTTTATTTTCAAAGTGGACACATCAACGGCTTTCTGACATGCCAAACGCACATTGCTCTTTGCATTACAGGCTCTGTGTGCAGGTGTAATAAATTGACCTAGGAACAAAGGGGTCCTTTTTGTTTTTTAGAACAAGGAGGAAAAAACCTAAACACTGCATTTCAGTTGGAAGAATTATTTCTCAAGTCTATTTCTTTGGAACTATTAGTGTTTTGTTTTTTTTTGTTTTTTTTTTTTGTGTGCGCGCGTGTGCACTGTCTTTGCTGAAAACCTGCTCATTTTCTCACGTCTCTTTCGTTTGTGCTCGGCCTCGTTCCTCTGTCTGCCCGTGTCTGCCTCACCGATTGACTGATCACCCAACAAGGAATGAGGGACAGTTTCTACCGTTACAATGTTGCTATTGTTGTTATTATTACATGGAGATTATGACAATTATCGGTTTTTGTATTGAATTTTAAAAACAAACATTAAAAGGCAATTGTAAAAGTTGTGGCTAAACTTAAGTGTTTGTAGTTTAAAGGAAAAAAAAAAA